TTTTAATTTGGTAAGATCTTAATATAGTATTCCATCATTGATAACAATTGATAACACATATTGGACAGCCACTGCAGCAGCAAGAATATTGTAGCAGTTGACAAAACAATCTCCCCATATGGTCCATCTTTCTCAGCGGATGCAGTTAACTGCCCATTTATCAAGGAACTGAACAAATTTCCATTTTAACACTTTGACTTTAAGGACTTGTCACCAAGTATTAGCTGTTCTGGCACTGGTTCTGTGTGTGTTCACAATCAAAATCAGAATCACTTTTATTGGTCAGGTATGTGGACACATACAAGGCATCCCGGTTTTACGTTGCTCTCGATGTATGAACTCAGGCTAAGCTTAAATAAACAGGACAACAAGCTCAGTGGACAATAGTGCAAAGGATGCTGAAATAAATATTTATGTGCAGGTTTCAGTATATACACACAGCATAGGTAGATGTATTTGAATTGTATGTATTGATTGTATTTATGTTTTAAAAAAGAAACGGAATTTAAACAATGGAAAATAAATAATAAATCGTTTACAGGTGCAGTAGATGTTAGTACCATGCTACCATGGTTATTGTACAGAGATTGTTCCTGACACTGTGTGCCTGGAGTTAACTGTTTGTCAGAGTGATGGCCTGTGTGTAGAAAGTGTTCCTGTTCCTGTTTGTTTTGGTGTGCAGTGCTCTGTAGCGCCTACCAGAGGGGAGAAGTTGGAACAGGTTGTGAGATGATGCTCCTGCCACTTCAATCATCAATTCAATTCAATTAATTCAATGTCAATTCAATTTTGTTTTTGCGCCAATTCATAACAGAAGTTATCTCAGGACACTTTCAAAATAGAAGATGTCCATAACCGAACTCCTTATAACATTTACAAGACCCAACAGTACCACCCATGAGCAAGCACTTGGCACGGGGCAAGGAAAATGCCTTTAAGGAGGCAGAAACCTAGGACAGACCCTTCCCGGCTCTAGTGGTGTCATCTGCCTTGACCAGTTGGGGGAGGGGGGTAAAGAGAGAAAAGAGAGAGAGAGAGAGAGAGAGAGAGAGAGTTTCCTGACTCTGGACAAGTAAAGGTCCTGAATGAATGGCAGGTTGGCACCAGTGATCAGCGACTGATTTCTGCAGTCCTGACCGCTGAAGTTTTTCCTTGCCGCCATCGCCAAGTGCTTGCTCATGGTGGGAACTGTTCGGTCTAGACCTGCTCTATTTTGAAAAGTGTCCTGAGATAACTTCTGTTATGATTTGGCGCTATACAAATAAAATAAAAATTGAATTGAATTGAATTGACTGTCAATTCCGTTGTAGTCGGTTCCTGTCCTGTTTTACACACATATATGTATACCGGTATATGAAAGTGTGTGTGTTTGTGTGTGTCTGTGTGCGTAAGGTAAGCAGGCCTAAGTATTTCATCAAAGACTCAACTGATTCCCAGGGGACACCAACAGCACATTTGAGTAATTAACCCTCAACACCACACAGAGGCAGCATTGCTCACTTATATCACAGAGCACTGGGTAGAGAAAACTGTTCTGTATGAACCAGCCTTACCTCTCATTTATTATACATATTACTCACAGTGAAAAAAGCCTATATTATTTAATTAGTGATTGTGGTTTATTAGCTTCATTCATTGGTTTTCAACTGAAAAGGCATGTCAACTTTTTGCATTCAATTGTAGGGGGGAAATCACCTGTAACATTGTCTTTTTAATAGTAGATTGTGAACTCCAGGTCTACAAAACACTTAACAAAGATCACATGTCACTGATCCTGATGATGTCTTTTGAACTTAAAATATTACAAAAACTGTCATATACCTTTCTGGCAAAGTACATCATAGTTGTCACTTGTCAGCCCCTTTATCTCAGATTGTTCTAGACCTTGTCATTCCCCAGTCACAGTGACAATGATGACAATAAGATTAGTTTTTTTTTTTGGTTTGGTTGTACATTATGTTTTAACTATGGCCCATATTAGATTCCAGTGTAAACAGGTCCTGAAGTGACCCACATGACGAATGTTGAATCTAGAGTGACGTAAAAGTCACATGAATTCCGAAATGACTGTTCACACAGGTCACTTTGCAAAAAAAATCAGACCTGTATCTGATTTGGACCACAAAGTGGCTCAAATCATAACTGACAAACAACAAATCATGTGATTTGCGCTGTTCACACTCTCATGAAGGGGTTTTCCTTTATCATAGGGAAATGCTCATTTGTTTATGAGAATCCACCCAAAACAGACCAGAGTAAGATTTAAACTTGGATGTAAATTGTTGCTAAAAGCATACAGTGGTAAATCTTTGGTAATGTTTCTTAAAATGTCCATATTTCTGGAAGTGTTTGCATCATTACTAATGGATTTAAATACTAAAAACTCCCGTCTGCTCTTATGAGTCACTGACTGCAGTATAGTTCTACAAATTCTCAACAGAGCCAACTTGTCACAGCTGGCACATGAGGTGGACAAAATAATAGGAACACATAATACACCAACGTCCAAAGTAAACAACAAGAGTAAAGATACTTTAGAGCATGTTCATTCTCTTTCCTGGACTTGCATATAGATACTGGGCTATTTTTACAAGAAGGAATATCTGTAGTTCTTTGAGTTAACAAGTAAATAATAGCTTCACATACAAGTTACCATCATACAGACACCAAAATATCTACAAATCTGTGTAAGGCATGTTTTATACAACAATTAAACCCCAAATGTTTCAAACACATACTTCTGAATAATCTAGAGCAGGGTACTTCTGTGTTTTTTATGGCCAAGGACTCCTTATCTGATAGAGAGACAGAGCAAGGTCCCATATATTGTATACAATTGTGTGGACCCCCTTTCAAAAACCCAGTATCTTAAGCATTAAAAAAAGGCAGTGACAGAAAGATAATCTGGGTTAAATATGTTTGTTTATAAAGTGATTTGTGATATTAAAACCCTAAATATAGGTACAAATGCTCTGGTAATGCCAAAAAGGGCTCAAATTTAGTACAAATTACAGCCATCCATTGTGGTATCAATGGGTGACACACTCAGTTTCATCGTTCAGTTTAATGATTGGTATTTGAATTGTCATCTTGAATATGGGAACATTATGAGGAAACTGTGTTTGAGCCAGGGAGAATTGAAATGTTTCACATATTCACCATATACCTTGACTGTTATGTAACCATACAGAGCAATAGTCAGACTAGCTCCAGTGAGGATTTTTGTGCTCTCACACATTTATCTTTTTATATTGGCCTTTGATGCAGTTTAAATGAATGACACTCCTGCCACAAATATCAGTTTAACAGAGCTCACAACATGGAGCAGCTATCCTGCTCAATGCATTCACCCCTGCTCGTGGCTTATGAGACGTTTTTTTATCCATGTGGTTGTGGTTGGTTCATCTTTTTGTGACCAGTGTTCCTGCAATTTAGACATCAACTATGTGAGGTATTATTTTTAACAGTATTATTTTTGCATTAAAAATGGTTTGTATGACTGCAAAGCCCTCTGAGGCAAATTGTGATTTTGGGCTGTATATAAGTAAAATCTGACTTGAGTTGGCTTGCTATCTATCAGTGACTCCTTTACAAGAGAGACACATTCATTTTAATTCATAATAAATTGCATTTTGTGTGTAAAAACTTGTGTATAAAATGTCACTGCTGTAATAATACCACACAGGGGACAACATGACTAGATCATTGACATCCATTGAGTCACTTGACTTTTACAAATGTAATATTTTTTCATAAATTGGTAAATAATGGAGTCCATCCGTGTGTGTGTGTGTGTGTTTGTGTGTGTATGCCCAACAGGTCTTTCTTTCCCTCAACTCTATGCTGCCCTCTAGTGTTTGAGTATATTGGTGCAAATCATCGTCACTTGGTTGAGCACTTTTTTTGCATTCTGTAACTATCATGTTAAAGTAGATTTGAAAAGCTTTTCAAAATGGTTTGGAGCTTACCACAGACACATTTACTAGTGTGTAGACTTTGTAACCTGGACTTGCTGTACTCATTTGAATTTGTAGATCTACAGGTGACTACAGTAACTTACACTTATCATGAAGGGTGGTCGGTAAAATAAATTTGAATACCAAGTTTTGATCTTTTTCTTGGGAAGAAAAAGCAGATCTTCCTCTGCAGTCTTCTCCCTTCCGGGTGATTATACCATGAAACTGTGGAACAGCTTGTCTTAGTTGCTTCAGCTTGCTAATTCATTATCACGTTTTCCTCATAAACACACTTTTATAGACTTGCCTTTATATGTTTCCATCTTATATTCTCAGGTTGGTTGTTTGTTTCTTTTAATATCTCACATATTTATGTCCTTTTCTGTAAACTCTGTAGACTTTATGCCTTTGACTTTGGAAACTCTGCTTTTAGATTTGTGCCGCATAAATAAAAATAGGTGTTTTTATTAACCTTAATCATAAAACTTAAAGCGTTGGAAGTAAAAAGTAAAAACTAACTGGAACAAAACTTGAAACTTTCTGCTTTAAGAATCTCTTCATCTCCGACAACATATTTATTCTTCATATTTCAATCGTTGCTAATACTCTGGACTGCACAAACATCATGAACATGTCTGCTTTGGAGGATTTAGCCCACTTTTGTGATGTGAATTTGTGATGATGATCATGGTATTAAATCTTATTCTGTTGCTCTCAGTCTAGGTCATTCTAGGTGTGAATATAAAATGTAATGGTACAATGCCATGTTTCCATTTTCTGTATTGTATGTTATCTGAACTTCATATATGAAATGTAGGATACTTTTCTCTTAGCTCCTGACATGCTCATATGTCATAAGATACCACATTTTCACCTGGACGCCATGCAGAAAATGTTCAGTAATTAGAATTTGCCAACTTCAATGAAACATAAAACCCTGAGAGATACATGTAAGTGCACATGGAATGTTCTTTTTATCATTTTTGAAAACATTTACAACTATTTGAGACAAAAGAAAAACGTTACAAACAGAATTGACCTGCAGTTTGCATCCATTTTCAAAATGTTACATAAATAAAACTCATATTTATAAATATCTCTTTTTATAAACATATAAATAGTTTTTTAAACATAAATACATTTATGCAGGGGAAGATGAAGTACATGAATGTACAGCAGCAGCAGCACAATATACAGCTTTGCGGTTTGTAGTTTTTACACCATTGTCCGCTATCTTGTAGTATGCATCTGTGTTTGTATCTGCTGACCATTTGTATGGTATACAGATATCTATATACGTATATATACCTGCATATTTATTATATATATATGTATATATATATATATATATATTTATATGAAGGTTTTGTAGCATTGTCATCTCAGTCTTTGTTTATGCTGGTCGTGGTGACTTTCGTACCGAAAATCTGTCACTTGGTGAGTTTTCTTTTCCCTCAGGTGAGAACAAACTGAACCTTTGTTATCCAAACCCATCGTCCAGAGATCTAGAGAAAGAGAGGAAACAGGAGAGGTACGGTTAGGCTGAGCTTTCAGAAACAACAACTTAATCCACGCAATTTCATTTATTCCGTATTTTAGCCGTTTTATTAGTATTTAATTCACTCATTGACTTTTTAGTTTCATGCTTAAGCGAAGTGAAAAGTCAGGGCAACACTTTAACTAACACAGACCTCCACATTTACGATTCACTACAGCCCATGAGACGGAAGGACGGCTGTCAGCTGATCAAAAAACATGTACACACACTCACTCAAGTTAGTCACAAAATCACACTCCCCCATCAGGGCTTCACAGTTTGCCACAACCACAAAAAGGCCTCAAGCCTCAGGACTAATTGTGCGTCACCTAGCTTCCTCATTACTTCATTCACCACCAAAGCCCCTTTGTTGTTTTTGTTAAAATGACTTCGGTAAAGAACATGGGTTTCCCAGAAAGATCCTGACCACCACAGGGTGCTGTGTGTTTATAATGTGTGTGTGTTGGCCTGTCTGCATCCCCTCTTCCCTCCCCCATCTCTCCCTGTCCTCTCTTCTTCTTAAACTTGATATATGCTGCTTGTCTCTAGATAAAGCAGATGCAAACATTCATGGTGAAGTGCATGAATACAACAGTGAACTTCCGACATACCCACTAGATTGTTTCCCATACATCAGTTTGCATCTGTTTAAGTGGGCTTTCCTGATGGAGAAGAGAACACTGCTAGACTAAAGGTCGAGGTTTGATGATATAAAGAGTCGGTCAGGCAGCTGAGGTTGATGGCATATAGCTGATTTCTTGACCTAGACTCTGCGTACATCATCTGACAGAATATATGGTCATCACTCACCACTCGTTTTACTGTGTATCACTGCCACCATGATTTGACTTTTATTCTAAACTGGCCTACTAACCGTGGATGCAAAACACACAATGTCCTGAGACGACCATCAAGAATAATGATAATCTGGCTCTTGTTTGCTTGCTTTCTCTCTCCCTCCCTACCTCCCTCCCTTCCTTCCTTCCTTCTTTTACCCCTGTCCATTCTTCAGTTACGCACAAGACCCATTACCTTTAAAGAAACAGAAAAGTTTACTTTTCCGCTTGCTTTCTCTCTTGTTCTTTATTATTGCCATCAATTTGTCACTCACATGGAGTCTTTCAAAGACCACTGACAATTTTTTTTTTAAATTTAATGCAATTATTCTCCCATTCCCCCTTTTCCTTCTTTCTTTCCTCCTATCATCCATATGTTCTTCCTACTGGCCCTCCATCCTTTTGCACCATCTTTCTATGGACTAGACCCTTAGTTCTCTTTCCCTCCTCCCCTCTATTTATATGTCAGTGAGTCAGGTTACACTAGATCTAAGTGCGAAGTGGGACTGTGACTTAAACTCACCATCACAGCACTGCTCCAACCCTAACAACCCATGCCGCTGATGGTTCCTATCCTGTCCATCTTATGTCCGAAGCAGCCACTCCGCGACGTGGAACCCCCTTTCTTGTTTCCGGATTTGTGTCTCCTTGGTGCGGGTTGGTCGTTAAGGAGACGAGCCCACATCCCTCTGGCCCGGGTGTCCATGCGTAAATCGCGCAGTAACCGTATCCGAGAGCGCACAGCGTCTAGCCGTCTCTCACTCTCCTCCGACTCCAGAAACTCCGCCAGCTCCTCGCCCAGCAAACTTCTAAGAGACTGGACACAGATTGAAAAAGTAAATAAACGATGTCTACCTGAGGCACATACGATGTGCAAAGAGATATGCTTTCGATAAAACTGATGTGCATGCTTGGTGCCTCTGAGCAGAGCAGCCGTTTTCACAATCCTTAATTTTAAATTGGGGGAAACCTCAGCTCGGTGCATATTGTGCATTGGCCAAGTGGGAAAATGTTATCATTCTTGCCGCACGGCGCTATGGGATTTAAAGATAATGGTCCTGTTTGATGATCAAAAACAAACTGTCGGCTAGATCCACAGGATGCTGCAGTTATTTAATGCAAACCTCAAAGGACGCACTTAATGCAGTTCATTTCTAGTGAGGGTTCTGTATTTTTTTGTACGTTTTTACTATAAGTTTAGCTCTGAGACTCCTTATGATGTTTTCACGCCTTCAGTAAAGACCCACGTAAGGCAGGTGCCTGAAGCCCGCTCCTCTGGTGTGAACGCAGACTGTGGCAGCAGCTTGCAGACATCCTAAATTCTAGCCATCTGAGCCAATAACTAAAACCCTTCTCTACTCTGAAGTTTTGGTATTACAGTTGATTCTACAGGTGAATTCTATGCGTAATGGTGATTTTACGCACAACGGTTAACTTTGTTGTAGTTTAATTTTGGCAAACAATTGTAAAATGTCAATTCCAAGTCGAAAGTGAATATCTACATTGTGTAAAGACGTTCATATTCCTGAAACATTTTTTTCGTTTTTAATTTGAATGGTTTCACCTAAAACCTTTGGTTTCTTGTTTCTTTGGAGCGCTTGTCAAATGACTTCATTGGGCGCTTAAATGGTAAAACTGACAAATGCTGAGGAGTTTTTCTCTGTAGCTACTTTGTCTTTAGGGGTTAGACATCACTCAATATAAAAATGCTGTCTCTTTATTAAAAATGTTGGATGTTTTAGATTCAGAGTGTGGGAAAAAATTCCCTTGCTGAATTGCTAAGCATGACTAAAATTATGAAACATGATGCGTAAAACAACAGTCTTGAACGCCTGGACCACAAAACAGCTGTTCACTCCTGAAGCAACATTCAGCTTCCAACTGTTAATAGTGCGAAGCAAATAAACTGGTTTAGTTCTCAGAAATAAGAATATATGGGACTTTTTCTTACCTTTTGCTGCGCCTGAGATAAAGGTTTTGCCCCCATCCTTACTGAAAGCAGGGTGACCATAAGTCCACAAGCTACCAAGTACGACAAGTTCATTTTGACAAGTCTTGTATTCTTTAAGGGATTCCTCTGTGCTGAAGTTCAGAAAGAGGGACGGAAGCAGCAGCCAATCAGCTGTTAAACATAAGAAGCTTCAGTCCGTCCTTTACTCCAAAGCTCCTCAAGTGCTCCTCTAACTCTGTGTATTAGTCCTCACCGCTTTATAGCCAGCCCATGGTGATGTCATGCCAACCTGCGTAATGGTCCTCCTTCCGCGCCAACTCCCTGTTTTCTCTACCTGCCGCGAAGCACGTCATGCCAGGGATTAATTAAATGATACAAGCTCCGGTCATCGAGGCTTTGGAGGAAATGAGATAGCCTATGAGCTATCAAAAAACTCAGTTTTTTAACTTTTAGACCTCTGGCTGAGATGCAGCAGCTGAAATCGAAGGTGCTTTCAAAGGCTGCGCGTTAAGAGCTGAAGAGCGACTTTGGCAGAGAAATGACCTCAAAGATGCCAGCCGCCTGCCCTGCGAAACATCTTAACAAGTCATATGTTATACTGTGAGAGTATGAATGACATATTTTGTTTACAGAGGAAGTGAACATTCAAATTCAAAAGAATTTACCTTATTTTCACAGACGTTCCAGATAGTGTCATTATCTTAATTAACACTTTCTTGAACATATTTTAAACACGAGATTGCCCTAGAAGAAAGTAGATATGTCTCACTGCAGCCCAATCATTCATTCATTTAAAAAGAAAAGTTAGATTTTAAAATGTCTGCATGAAACTGAATGGCTGCTGAAAGGATATGAAGAAACAGGGATGAACTTTGTGTAACACATCGCGTATCAGATTTAAGCATCTGTGCGCAAAGTGGTTTCTGGAAATTTGACTTTACGCGGAGCGATGACATCTACCACCATGGCACATTCAAAATTAAATGGAACTGATGGTTCATACGACAGAAATGATTCGCCCTGAGCAGAGAACCTCATTTAACGTGTCTGGATGGGAATTACACACTGCGCAAAAACTCATACATCATTACTTCACATGTGACTTGAGGGTTTGTTTTGTGGATCTTGGAGATATTTTACGGTGTGCGTTTCAATCAGACCTGTCGCATCGCAGAACAAAACAGACACATGCTGGGGCTCCTCTGACTCACAGCATCACATGATGAGTGTTTAGACCATGAGGTCGTCATGGATGTGTGTGAGCTTCTTCTTCTGTCCAGACAGCCACCTGCCCACACTCAAAAAGGAGGTTGATTGACATTCCTTAATTATATTGGTGTTATAGCTCTATAAAGAAACATATATACTAACCTTGATTAACAATAATTACCACTACAATGTCAATCCAGAATATATATTGCTGTATTGTTCTTCCAACTGATATATTTATATCCTGGATTTAGGTAATTCCCTGCTGTCTTTACAGCACAATAAAGGTCCAAAACAGAATATTTTCCTGGAGGTATAAATAATTTTAGTGCTACATGGAATCTCTGAAAAAGATTCCATATTGTAAAATGTTTAAGACCCCCTTTGCTTTAAAGATTTTTTAAATACATATCAGTAAAGGGTTTTGGGGACTAACCCCTTCATCTATAGTTATGTGGACTCTTCAGAATCTTTGAAGCAACCAAGAGGTGTAGACAAGAAAAAGTATAACCTAGAGCAAAGATGGTTTTACCACAGCAATCAAGAAGATAAAACCCCAAAGAAGGATATACTAATAGTGCTTAGCCTGATATTAATGCTTAATTACCCAATGACATTTAATATTATAGCAATGTAACTGTATATTGACATATATTTTAATATGAGATAATTCAACTTATTTACAATGCTTAAATGCTGCACTCATGAATGCAGAATGAGAAAGGCCTCATGTTAAAATCAGTTACAGTTGGCAGATTATTTTATCAGCGTCAAGAGAAGAATGTTATAAACCCACAGACAGGTTGTTTCACACGCTTTAAAGGGGGAACAAATGTTTAAGGTGAAAAAAAAGTCAGTAACAAGTGATATTTTTTTCAGTGTGGAGTGATTCTGGTGCAGTGTGGTCCCAGTAGAGCGGAGCTGTAGGCAGACAGGCAGCACCGTCTATTTTGGAACACAGAGTGGCAGTATTTGCTGTGCCGAAAAGTGAATACCCCTCACAGTCAGATGTTTACGGGATCGATACAATTCCTGTGAAAGTAAGTCGTAACTCACAGCAGACCAGGCATATGCAATGTGATGAAAGTAAATCAATAAATCCCTATTTGTCTGTGTGATGTATCATGTTTAAATCTTATCATTAGAGTTCTATGAGCCTTGAAACATGCATCTAAAAAAAATGTGGCAGGTTTTGTGTTTGGAATTGTTTAGCAAAGGTGATGTTCGGGTGATAGAAAGCAGCAGCCATCCTATTTACGTCAGCATTCACAACATACTTTGCTCTCTCACTGTTATCTCTCTTTGGTTATACAAAGAACTTCATATATTCAGTATATCACCTCACAACCATACTCTGACAAATGTGTGAAAGTATCTGAAATAGCACTTGGTAGTACAACCCAAACATTTGTTTTAGATTTTAGTACATAAAGAGTGCAAAAACCAATTTAAGCCACGTTTTAGTCTCCGTCCCCCGCCAGCAACTCTCAGGAAGAAACCCCTATCATTTTATAGATGAACAACATGACCGGCCAATCCCTGATCTTTACAGGCCAACATCGTTCACCGGGAAACATATTGTCTTCATCCTGACACACACAAGCAAACACACACTCAAAACAAAGAACGCATCCCATCCTTACTCACATGTATTGTAAGAGCTGGTCCCAGTTAGGCCACAAAATACTCCTTATTCTCTACTCTAAAGGAAAAACCATCTGTCTGCAAAAGTACATTTTCTTTGTATGGATAAAATCATGTTTTTTTGGTCTCTCTCACTCCCATATGTAGTATTTTCTTCTTTAATTTTTGGTCCCACAACATCATTTGGTCTTAGCAGTTGGTGTTTCTCCACTGCACTTCTGAAACAGTGTGGCGTCTTCCTTGTAATCCTTTGATTAATTATGAGTTTCAGTGGTTGGCACTCTTTTCTTCTGCTCAACCATGGTGATTATCATTGCTCATACCAACTAGCCATTTTTTCTATTCATTCCTGTATGCCCAGGAATAAATAGAAGACTTGCTGGGCAGAATTTTCCCAGGAAAGAGCAACCAGACACTGTAACAACAGACTCAAAACCTCTTGTGAACTGGGAAACACTATTGTGTTATATCAATCAGTAACAGTATATAGCAAACCAGACATTTACTGATATGAAAATATTGCAGTTTAACTATAAATGATTGTGTAAGGAAAATTAAACTTCCAGAACTGCATTTATTGCTTGTTCACAATACTACATTCTGTAGGGACAAAAGGGTTCACGTCAAACAGCAGATTAGAGCTTTTTATTTATTTTATTAATTCAGTGAATGTTTACTGAACATGCATACTCTTACACATTACTATACCACAGCACAGAGGCATGCTTTCACACATTACCCTGCTCGGTGTAAGAAGTCCTCTACCTTTAAGCAGCTGCACTGGGGATGTTTCAGGGTGATAGGCCTTGTTTGAGGTCACTTTGACAGTCAGTGATGGACATTTTCATTCATACCTTGTCCAGATTTTCCCAGTGATCTGGAATTTTAATTAGAGCTTATTGTACTTTTTTTAATCTAAGTGATCCTGATTGTTTTCATGAAGATTTCTATGGCTATTATTTTCTGCCAAAACAGACTACAATTAATTGAAAGTTGCTGGAGCAAAGTAAAATGAGAGGAGGCAGCTTGAAACCAGGTCATGATCTGTGCTTCTTAATGGTCAGCTAGGCCGCGTTGGAGATAGTGTGAGGCAGTGAAACAAGGAATGAGATAATTATATATATAGTATATTGCTTGATGAAAAAAATAAACATATAAAAAGTTATTAAAAGACAACTCAGTCACCCACAACATGTAGTTCTCTGACATGAGTCACATATCTTTACGTCTGTGAGTGGCACTACTTTCACTGACTCACCAGTTTGTTGTGAGACATATAATTACTGTGCATTGCATGAAACATTTTGGAACATTATTTTATCTGATGTTTTTCTTTAGTTTTAATTAGAGCAGACTGAAGTTGCATCACACAGCTGTTGCAGGAATTGAACTTGGGACATTTTTTGTTACCCAAGACTCTCCTGCAATGCACAGAACCTGTAAATGGAAGCCAGTTGCTTTTTTGTACAACAATACGTTGTGAAAATATCAGTCAGTCATTGCATTAATTTATTTAATGTACTTACTGATGCTCATACTGTATGTTTGAGGCGAGCAGGGAAAGTTGGATGCAAAGGCCCATGAAAAATTCTGATATGTTCAAGTGTAAGTTTCCAGACCTGGGCTTGCCCTGTCATCAAGATTTTGTCCAAAAATGACAGACTCCATGCTCTATTGCAGCTTTTTGTGGCAGTGGGGTGCCGCAATGCCAGCGATCATCAAGGAGAGATGCTTTTGTTTCCCATACTTAAGACGAAAGGAAGTCTCATTGAGTTCTTTCTATGAACTAATTGAGGGTTTGCCGCTTTCAGCAACTGCAACTGGAAAATCCCTCTCACACTCTGAGGTACCTGTAGTGAGAGGGAGTAGAGGATGCCACCTCATATCTTAACTAATGCGCAGTCAACTTTCACAACAACAACATCGTGGAGCTGCTGAACTCTGCTGACCTCATGTCCGTAATGACTTCTCTGGTTTTATGCAACATTTTTCTCTCATTGCTAATTTCTTTTGAATTTTAACAAGTGAGTGACACATTCTTCCTTAATGCCGCAAGTGTTGTGTCACAAGTTTGTCTTTTTTTGTATAGTTTAACAATGTTACACACTTTTCCCAATGACATCACACGGGTTACTGAGAGCACCCATTTTGCTCTGTCCTTTTGTTCCCCCCTTTCTCACTCTGCCTGTGCCGCAAATTCTTATCCGCTTAATTTTCAATAAATCTTTTTGCTTTCATGTGGCTGAAAGAACTTGACTGGTTTGCATCAGGAGGCTATACAAACCATGCAGCGGAGGGGCCATGTGTTGCAGTAGCATTAGCAGTGAGTGTCTATGGGAGGATTGAGTGTCTTGGTTCCTCCTCTGGGG